TGGACTCGAAACCATTTTATTCATACATCTTGCGGAATACCATTCATTAACAATCGTCAAACAAATAAGAAAGTTTTAAAACATTCTATTATGCTATAAAATAGTTCAATATTGTTAGTTGAAATTACATTTCCCATGATTGTTTAAAGTTAGAAATGTTACTTTATTTTACAGTCGTATATAGTAAGATCAAAAATATTGGAGTTAGAAACAAGGAATAATCTTATTCACAATTATTTTCACCAATTTCATTAGAGTTAAAATAGTTTTAAGATAATTTTTCAACTATCAACAGATGTAATTGACGATGATCATAACTTTTTATTAAAAAGAGAAAAACAAATATAGATTTATGAACTAAGGTAGAATGAATTATAATCGATCATTGTGCTAATTATAATGATTGTCAGTATGTATCCATGCTACTGTTATAAATATAACAGTATCATTTTTAATGGTTACGTTTGTTTAAAATTATAGACAGTCTTTAAAGTATAGTAACTGATTTTGCTGCTAACTATTCTAAGTCATAACAAACTATATGAAGCACGGTGAAAAGTTTATATATATGCTCTTAACACAATAACTGAAGCGCTGTTGATAACGATGACAGTAATACGTTACATGATCCTAAAATAAAATTGAATGGATGGGTTTTAGGATTTTTGGCAAGATAATTTAAGATCAATTAATTGGCATTTAAACGCCCAAGATTTCAATTTACTTAAGTTAGTTTGTGGTAGTGGGATGATCAAATCTAGTCATCCATGAGTTATTTTATCGATTTGGTCTTGGCCGATTTCAGCGGTCACTATCAACTTCAGATCAAGTTATTAATGAATTCAGTAACTTTATTTATTGAGGTGTTTGCGAAAAGATTCGGTGATTTAGGTGGTTTTCATAAGCTGAATAACAAACTATGAAAATCCATCTATAAAATAGCTAAGTAAACACATGTTGTAAACAAGTAGTATAGACTAAGAAAAATTTTCGCACATGTGTTTTTATACAACGTTGAAAACTCCAAATTAAGAAGTTAATAATAGTCAAAATTATGCAAATAAAAGCTATTTTTAAAAAGTGTTCAATCATATAAACTTGACTGTGAAAAACAAACAATTCACATTCTAAGCGACTAAATACACTGGTGTAATTAGCAATCGATCTCCATCATCATTATCAGTTTAGAGGATAATAAAATTAAGTGTAATTCACAGTTGTGTTACATGTAAAATCTTTTGCATTTTAACTCTGATCATCTTTCTAGTACTGATAGATTAATCGATCTATGAACAGCTAAAATTTTGCTCGCTCTGTTATCACCGAACATTTTACAATTAGAAAGACATATGCTTAGTTATGAAGATTAAAATAACAACGATGATTCGGTATTTATTAACCTGTCTAGCTTCAACCATTATTATTTTTTTAAAAACACTCAAGCATAGAAGAAGCGTATGATGTATCGAATAATAAAATATAGTAGTTATAGTATTAAATATTAAACAAACCTTAGAAAAGACTAAAAACCAACTACGTGAAACATGTTAGATAGATAGATAGATGTTGGCACACCCAACTTGGAAACCCGTTGAATATATCATAAGAGTCCTGGATAGTTTTGAAGAATCAACACTGAAGGTAAACAAAAGAGAAAGCTTTCATGGTCAGCCAACAGTGAATAAAATTATTATTTTACGATTTTAAACAAGTTGAACAATCAGTACAATATGGTATACAATGCTTAAATGTTCAGCGTCAGTATTCTATCAAGGGACTTATACGAGTCGGAAGAGGAAGATGATAATTTTGACAATAATAATAATGAAGAAGAAAGAACAAGAGTTTGTAAATAATATGTATACATGATAGGTGAACGCAGTCGATGGATGATTAGGGTGTATTCTTTGGACAAAACTAATCACCTCAAATCTATGCCATCAAATACTAATGTGTTGTGCGGTATTTCATTTTTGCTTTTAACATTATGCACATAAGCCTCTGATGATAGTTTCCAGAATCTAAACTAAGATGGTTTGATCCTTCATTTACAGTTCGACCTAAAATCCTACAGCTTAGTATGTTATAATATTGTCCATACATTTTCACCGGACAGTAGAAAACTCGTGAGAATTCACAATAGTTCTAGTCAAGTAAATGTCATCACCATGGTTTGACTTGATAATCTCAAATAGACAAATATTGGGTGGTTTGTTTATAACGATATAATGATAGTTCATATGTAATATCCAAATGAATGGAAAACTGAGTTTTTGACATTTCGCGACTTAGTTTAAGTCGCTTCTTCGGTTTTGAACAAGTCCCAGTCGATGTTAATAGGCTCTCTAACTGCAAAGACACTTTTAACAGTTGTTTGACTGATATGTAAAAGTGATGAAAATCAGTTTCGCATTGAGTGACACGAATAATAAGAATATCATAGTGAGGTAGATGGATAAATAAACAGGGAAACATAACGGTAGAGAAAACCTTGAACTAAGATTATTCTTGTTTTTGAGCCGCTTGTTAATTTTTAGGAATTTTTAAGAGACGACTATGTAAAACTAGACAAAAATGAGTTAGCAAAATGTAATGAATTGCCAAAAGAAATAAAAAATAGCTTTATAATCAGTCCCATCTTCTATTACTACGAACTGTCGTACTAAAGACAATTAGTGCCTAAGATTGAAGAGAAGTTATGTGTAACTACTGTGATTGTGAATACTTGTGTCGATTTTTGGCTATTTATATTATTTTGGAAATGATTTTCAGACTTCCGATTATGATCGGAAAAACCATTGATAAGTATGGATCACTGAATAATTACTTTGTTCTATCTCAAAACTCCTTAGTCGAATTGACAACAGACCTCATACAAGACCAGACTTATAGTATTTAAGTTTCCAGATGTGTATTATAACATTTAACCAACTTCACGATGCATTCTATGAACTTCTAATAACATGTAAAGTCAAAGACGTCAAAAATGAGATTATAACCTGCGGAAAACAGAAGGTGAGAACTGTAAATCATTGTGTTTCAAATCAATGACTTGAAGATATTGTTCTCCTCAGAAACGACCTCGACATGCTAGGTCTAACTTAATATAGAGTCACGGGTATGGAATTGTTTGGCCTCCAGAACTAAGACCTACTGTACAATAGTTTTTGGTTGGTGTTAATGTATTCACATCGAAAGATCTTACAGCAAAAGTATTGCTGTTACCACTTCACTTTACTATAATCGATAGAGTTATGATAGAAGCGAGGTTTTTTGTCTAGCTATACAAAATTTTAATCTCTTATGTCATTACTTGAGAAAAATTATTTTTTTAAAAACAAAGGTAAATAAATCAATCCAGTTACTTTTAAGCAGATTATCGAAGGATATAAAACGTTCTATTGATATCATTTTTATAAAGCTAATATGTATGTGGGGGGCAGGCATCAATAATACGACGAATACTAGTGTTGCTTAGTTTGAAAGCACTTGTTGTAAACCATTAGTCAAATTACGTCACTACATAACCATAAACAAAAAACTATAATCAAAACATCCCTAATACAAATAACAGTCTGTTGTATAGTATAAAAAGATTTATACTTCTGAGAATATAAGGTAACAAAAAACGTCCATTAGTTCATATCACTCAAAGCATAAATATCATCACTATGTGAAAATGTGTATTAAGGCAGCAACGTTTGCTGATGGAAGTATAGTGGTGGAATGTTTGATGAACGATTACTCGAATACACTCAAATATATTGCAACTAATTATTCAATTCATTTGCAATACAAACCTAAACATAAATCGATTGGAAGCAGTTCAATGTGCAAAGAAATAAAGATCGCTAGCATATTAATAGTTCTAAACCTTATTTATTGAACTCACTCTGATCAAAACTAACATATGTAAAAGAGGAAGGATTTTGTCAAAGTTTTAAAGTGGCACTCACTACAAACTGATATCAACTTATGGACAATTGACCAGCTGAAATTATTCTTTAGTTGTTTTCAGAATTATGAAGTGTTTATGAGAGTTGAACAGTTACGAGTCAAATCAAGGTAAATAAGGATTACGAAATATAGAACAGTTTCAAATTGTCACTTTTGAACACGTAAAATTAACTACACATCTTACGTACTTTGAATAGGAGTTTCATCACAGTTGATCATTGAGAACTAGAAATCATTGGTCAGCTGCTTTGTTCAGTGTTGGGAATTCATATTTGTGCCCAATCGAACCCGAAACCTTTAAGATACTTTATAGGCACGATGACATTCAGGGAACGACAAATCAGTGTAAATTGTAGATTATGTTTTTTAGACCATTGGAAACCATCAGAAACGAAGAGAGCTATTCAAAACATCCAAGTTTCATGAAGGAACTTAAAAACAATATTTGTTATATAGTATCTATAAAAGCGTAATGCTTACAATTAACGATTCCTTTCTACCTAAGTCAAACATCAATCAATCAGGTCAATAGTAGAAAAAGAATTACAAATTTATTAAACTCAATTTTGTTTAATTCGTTCGTCATATTATCCTAGGTTCTTCATAGAGTACGTAAACACTTGAAGGTCTGTTCAGCAAGATGTTTTGAAATGATAATTATTATGAAATCATAATAGTCAAATTTCTAGATGAAAGGCGAACAGTTTAAGATTTACTCATTCATAAACAGGAATTATGAGATTTAACTAAGTTGATCTAACCATCACATACATAGAAATCCATGAACTGTATTATGAGTTATTATCTCTGATATTATTGTCACACAACTCCTAGTTCGACTAAAAGATGAGTATTATCTCAGATACACTTATTATGATATCGCCCAAAATGGTCAATATAAATTTAAATTGAAGCCTGCTATTACATGACCGATAATTAATTACATTTATTTTTAGGTTAAATCTTTACGATTAATTGTAATTAAATAGTTCCATTTTTTTAAATAAAGAGATAAATGAATTGAACATTGTCATAAAACTTACAGATTTTTTCGATGAACTATTTTGTTTCTTGTATTCCTCGTCATTAAAATTAACTGGATGATACACAAACAGCTTATCATTAATCTGTTTATTTTCAAGTCCTACATGTTTATTTAAATTGTTTAAAGTTTGACAATGATAAGTTGCGATTTGTTTAAAATTTAAGTTTTCTGCAGTTTCTTCTGGTGATTGAACTGGATTGTTAGAGACTGATGTACAAGTCGAATATGTAAGTGGTGAAGATAAAGGTGACAATAATGACGATGATGATGATGAAGAGGAAGTGGAGGACAAGTAGTTTGTGGAACAGAATAGAGGTAATGAACATGAGTCAGAAGACAATGATGATATGGATTCAAGTACACACTTAGTTGGATAAACTTGAAAGGAAGAATCTGAATATGTTACATCTGCCAGTTGATGATAATCTATCTTTGTATGAGACAAAAGATGGCTCAAAAATCTGTTTGTTTTACAATTAGAATGACTTTTAATTTTATTATCATTCAGTGTGCAGTTCTGCAATTTTGATTGCTCTAATTTTGTTGGATCATGGTAATGATTACAGTGTTCAATGCTGAATGATGCATTATTGAATTGTTTTATTAATGGCGAATCTATGAAAGATTTCTCACCACATTCGGACAATTAATTATAGTCCTCAAATATTTTGATCCTTTACTGACAATTTTCTCCGAAAATATATCTATACTAAAATTTACTAAGTTTTTTAATTTATCATCAATATCTTTTTCTAAATGTTTTATTACTGTTTGTAACTGTTCCATAAATAATTTGATCAATTCAAAATGCCTTGAACAAATTTGTTTATCATTTAATAGAAAACCCATTAGATTACAAGTACGTATAATTTTCATTAATCCAAACTTTGTATTTTCAGAATAATTGGAACAGAACTTAATGTCTCGTAATGAGTCTTGTTCACAGTTCATGATACTTGTTGGATAACTTGAATTTATTGTTTTTGAATTTTTGGAATTACTAATATTATCAGTATGATTGTTGTTACGCATATTACAACCATAAATACTTCCATTATTACTTTTAGAAATAAGTCTTGATAGTAAATGAATTGAATTCGACCCACATTGTCTTGGATTGAAAAGCTTTTTATGATGATGTAAAGGATTTCTACAATACTGATATGTTTGTTGTGTTGCTTTCCACCCAGTACAATATAAGTATAGTGAATTTATTATAGCCATAATTCTCTCTATTTGTTTTACGACTATTTATCTATTTTTGCGTTTTTCCTAGACTTGAGAAAAAAAAGCAGACGCATAACTTTTTTAAACTACCATTTATATTTATCCTTGTTTCAGTACATGTCTTAGTGAATTCAGATTGTTTTTTAATAACCTCAAGGAGGTCATAACGCTTGTGATTTGTTCATTCGACTTATCTATGATTTGATTGGTTGTTTGAAAGCCCAACAATAAATACATAGTTTAAAATAACCAATTAAAAAATACACGTGATGGCACAAGCTAATCTGAGCTATAATTTTTATGCAGACGTGTTTTCGGCAACTATAAACTACATTCATTACATGAAATAACAAGCGTATATAAGATTCTAGCTAACTAGAAGTGGTTGGAGTAAATTAGTTTCCTTAACTAACGAGCAGCGACCCATGATATAGACGTTGGTTAATAGTTGAAACATGAAACCTAAGAGGGGACATGGATTGTCTGTGAGAGCGAGTTGATTAAGTAGTTGTCACCCTAGTTTTTATAGCTTTGATTCCTTGACTCTCATCTCTTTAACACTGAAGTCAAATTTTTTGTCAAATACCTTTTTAGCGGTTTGAATTTCTTATTTGACAAACACATATGTTGATTATGCTTGGGTTCGTACTGATGATTGTGAACCATCTCAACAGTTTCTGACAATGATGGCGATTTGAAGCTTATGATTATGTTTGAATAATATAATTTTCGCAAGATTAAAAATTCTGCTGAGCATTGTTTAACTACAATTTAGCTTGAATTCATTAGTATAGTAGTAAACAATGCTATTCTCATTGACATGGATGACAGAATGATAATTTAAAATGATGAATGAAGTTAAAATTAGTCCATTGAAGTTAATGAATTTTCTCAAACCCAGTGATGAGGTGGTTTCGATCATAAAAAGATGTTTGGATTTACATCATAACCATGGAGCACTTTGTTATGGAAATATCATGTTGAATGAATCTTTCATGAAAGGCTTAGAGTGATATTTAAATGCTAGGAAGTGCATAAGGTATGCATCTATGAGTCAAAAAGTTACCTACACAGTTAAAAAGTTACATTTTACTAATTAGAAATGCTCTTACTTGAAAATTTTAATTTGTGAAAGCTAATGATAGTTATTTATGTTTAGTGAAAGAATTAGGAATTAGACTTATCACCCTTTACTTAACATGGTCTTGGAACCAATTTGCTGGTAGAAGAAAATGAGATTCAGGTTTTATGCGTATGGCCTTTCTTATGTGTACGCATTCCATAAATCTTAAGCTGAAAAAAATGATATCTGTCTAGCGTAATATCACATGCATCATACAAAAATGTGAATATTTCATTTCAGCATCATAGTTTCACTACATTAACATCTGTTTAGACATACTATGTTTTCCCAAGTATGGTGCACTTTAGACGCTTTCTGTCTCGGCATCGCTTATATGATTTTAACTTTTATGTTGCAATTAGTGAATGCATGTCATAAATTTACGTGTGCGACATTATACTCTATTATACCTTTCTAAAGTTTTTTACCCTTTAAATAAACTGACGCGTTCTATGACGTGGTTGAAAAGAAGAATATGAAAGTTGTAAATCATCATTATCTGAATAAACAAATGTTTTCAGGAATAGTTTCATAGTTCTAAATTCATTGCTTCGTATCAAATTCGGTATCATGGAAGGACATCATCGTATTTAACCATCTACACTCTTAGTAACAAAGCATTCTAAATTTACTTAAGTATTATTTAATATTGCATACCTATCCGTATTAGAAAAACTACTTGCCTGAACTTTTACATAATTCATAACTTGGCCTTGTATGCGCAATTATATTAACCTGATACCAGTTTTCTCAGGTGAAATAAGAACAAAGTCTGACACAAATTAGTGCTGAGATAGATTAATGACAAATCATAACGTGAATAAATAAAGCTCGATGGTACAGTATCAACTGTTAATGATGTAAGTTGCATAAAAAGTGAAATAACTGGTATCGAGAAAGCGAACAGAAGACTTCTTACAAGTTATAAGTATTGGAATGGATTGCTCATACAGTGGAACAAACTATATTGGTTACCAATCGATTAACAAAATAAATTACAATTGGTTATGCAAAGAATAAGCTGATCATACAATAAAACTGTTATAATAAGCTGAAACGGATTATAAGAAGCGATCCACTTGTAGACTATACTTAGAATGACAGATAAGGTATGATAGTAAACATTTACACAAACACTGGATAACGAGAAAAATTAGCTGATCAGTTTCATTTACTATGGATATGCTGACATTTGGGAATAAGACACTGGGAATTAAAAACTCCATTGCGTAAAAGATTTAAAAAATCCAAATATATCCGGAGAACATGTGTCGGAAAATTGGAAACCTCATGATGATGTAATAAGTTCACATAAGTTTTTCTCATACATAGTTTACAGAGCAACAGTAAATTTAATGTCTCTTCCAGGGTGACCAAAGTTTGGTCAGTATCGTTGGTTCTCAAACAAGACATACATCCAAAGTATAAACCCCAGACGGATGGAAAATAACCATATATATACTTGTTGAATGATTAGGACAAGTAGATTCACATGTTGATAGTTTGTGTTTCGCTGATAACTATGAGCTTTCAATTTGAGTGTTGAATGCGATTCAGAAGTCTTCACACTACCATTCTCAGATCATTCAGAAATCTGTTAAGTCTGAAGAATTTTCATTAAACGATAATTTACCTCATAAGATAATAATTAGACATAAGATACTACCAAAAGCTTCAGTTTGTGTTCAATTCACTTACTACTATTCCTATAATTTCTTCTTGCGACCAGCAGGAGAACTTATTCATTTATTCTCATCAACAATGGAAAAGCCTTATAAGTGCATTGTATTATGTAAAAATGCAAAAGAATTTCACAAAGCACACCTATTATTGAGATGGATAGATTTTGTTTGGAAATAATATATAGAAATTCCAGAAAACATACAAAAACATGACGGTAAACAACAACTACAACATAGCACCTACTTTGACAAACTTCATTTCTACTTTACGTTGTCATTTTGGTTAAGCACCTTTCTATATAGAAGAAGCATAACATCCAAAAAGAACTTTTCTTCTAATTTCTGCCTTTTAGCACTAATCGCTGCACACATTCCATTTACTTTAGTGAGATTGTCTGGGGACGGCTCCATGTTAATTCCGAAATTTAACTAACCATATTCTTTGGGAACCCTTAATGCTGAGTAACCTGTCAGTCTTCCTAGTAAAGGTATTAAATCTTTTGAAGCTCTGTATCTTCACAGTCCACATTGAATTCAATAGCCTTTTTATGAATTATCTGGTTTTCCCACAAACCAGTCCTTTAGATGCATTTGAACAAACTATAATTCTTACGTAATCGCAGTTTTAGCCGTTGTGTAAACTTTCGAAACTATAGTTCGTATTGTTGGTTATTTATGGAATGATATTTTAAAATTATGCGCATATCATTTTAATAACCTACTTTGATAATTGTCAATTAATCCATGTATTTCATTCTCCAAGGATTTACAGTGGAAGATTACAAACCATATATATATATATATATATATATATATATATATATATATATATATATATATATATATATTTAGAGAGAGAGAGAGAGAGAGAATAAATACAGGAACAGAGTTAATTGGTCTGTTGTTACTGGGTCAGAACACAACATTGTCCCTATAAGGATCATTTTTGGAAGTTGAAAACTCAAACTGAAATGAAATGAGCGGTGCAAGCCTTCTGGAACTTCGAGTAATTATCGTGAACTACCTATTGAGTTGTTTCGATCTACTTTGGAGGTGCGTTCTCATATATGGATGACTTATTTGTGAACCTTTAATAGGTTTTCTACATATTATTAGCGTATACTTCGAACTTTGTCCTGATGGTTTTGCTTGAGAAATAAAAACTCCATACCACGTCATATTGCTAAATAGCATTTCGCAATAAAAAAGCTTTCTCACTCACTCCTGTTACCACTCGATGAGCACAGGCCGCCGACCAGGGCCCTCCAACCAAATCTGGCCTGGCCTATCCTTCCTAATAGTTTTCAAGTCCGAATATATTATTGACATAACTGTATCTAAGGCTATATAAATTTAATAGTTTACATGGGAAAACTTAGTGTTTCATACAATTGATAATAATACATATTTAAGTCTGTTACGACAACTAATCTTTGCACTATTAGGTCTTGCACCATAATATTGATTTAACTCAGTCACATGCTTCATCTAGCTAAAGGACATATCAGTGGCTACTGTTGATTCATAATGATTTATGATTTTTTTTGGTGTGTGGAACACCTATTCACAAATCTGGTTTAGTATGAATCAACTTATTTTTCATGTTTTCTCGTGTGACGATAACTATTCCGTTTCAGTATCCAAAAAAGTGTGATATCTAGCATTTTCAAGCACTTATCCATTCATTTAATGAGTGAATACTTCATTTAAGAGCATAATTTTTACTAGAAACTTTATTTTAATCACACCATGAATCTCACAGTTAGTGATGATTGCACCATTCATATGTAGACGGGTATTTTTGTCAGCCAACTTTCTTTTTATTCATGTCCACTAACAGGTCGTAAGCGCTGAGAAAGTCTGCTCCGAGAATGGGTTGTTTTACTTGCGCAACTGTAAAAATCCAGGTGAATCGTCATCGGATGCCGAGGTCTAAAACTGAAGATTGTTCTCCATAGGTCTCGATGATTGTTTCGCTGGCCGATCGCAGTGACAACTTGTTGCTCGTGGTGTGCCGTTGTCATAAAAGTTCAAGCGAGATAATGCTTATTTCGGCTCCTGTATCGACTAAAAATTCTGAGCCAGAAATACAGTCCATGATATGGGAAAGACGGCTTGTGGTGTGGCCAGAAACAGGCGCCCCCACTACTGTCTGGGTGGCTCGTTTCTCAGATTGTCATTGGTGGTGGTTG